AAAGGAAAAAAAGAAGGACAGAGAGAGAGAAAAGAAAGAGAAAGAGAGAGACAGAGAGAGAGAGAGAGCGAGACAAAAAGAAAAAGGGACAGAAAAAGAGAAAGAGAATGACATACAAATGTATGCATATTTTTATATATATATATTTTATACATAAACATAAAGATAGAGAGAGAAAGAGAAAGAATGGAATATATATATATATAGTACTGAAACAATGAAAAAGACAGAGACGGTAAAAAACAAAGAGACAAAAACAGAAAAAGAGAGAAGAAGAGAGAGAGAAAGAGAGAGAAACCGGGTAGGGATCGAAACGAGGTATACCGTAGGGGGATTGAACGTTATTGTAACGCACGAAGGGATGCTCGACCTCGACTCTTCGTTTCTCTTTCTCTTTCTCTCTCTCTCACTCTCTTTCATTCTCTCTGGGTTCTCGTAACTATCCTATGCGGGCGTACGTATCAGAGTTGCCTTTCCCTCATACATATTCATCAAACGCTAATTAATCATCGCAGGGAACACCCACAGCGCGAAACCTCCCTTCCTCTCCACTCCTCCCTGCTATTCCTCCCTTCTACCCCCTCGCCCATTTGGTAGCCTGGTGAGCCAGGAACAAAAAAAAAAAGCAAGATAGGTATAACAAGAAAAAAAAAGAAAAAAGATATATAAAAAAATAGATATAAAACAAGAGAATAAAAACGGAAAAGAAATATGCAACCAACGAAACGCGCTGTGCATTACGAGTAACCTGTCAGAATGTCAGAATAATCGATACATCGACGAGGATTTAAAAAAAAAATATATATATGTATATATATATATATATATATATGCGTGTGTGTGTGTGTGTGTATCTGTGGAAAATATATATATTCTCGCGTCAAACACGGTCAAAAGTTTCGCAAGACAATATACCAAAGTTTCTTTCGCGTGTAATTAACTACAAGAAATGAATATCAATATGGATAAATGAAATTATATAGATTGATAGAAATTATATAGATGATTATAAAACTATCTTCTAAGTCATAAAAAAAATATTTTGTTTATTTTCCATTTATTATGGCATAAAGTACATCGATGTAAAATGAAAAAATGATAAATTGAATCTCTGTGAAAATATTTAAAAAACTAATGATATATACGTAGATGATTATGCGGAAGAAGCAGTACCTTCAGAGCCCTTCGAAATTCGCGTTATATAAATGGATCGCTTATAATTAGATATCGTTTATTCTACATCGAACCACCGTACTTCTACTACTAGGGGTTACTGCGATATATAACAAATGTGTATATGCCTTTGTATTCGTATGTGTGTATTAAATTCGTAGGATGGAAGGTGGTAGTAGTCGCTCATAGAACGCTTGACTGCTAATGTGACGCGATCATCGGCACCCAGTCATCATCCATTGATATTATACGAAACCCCAAACCCAAAAAGGAAGGTCTGTCTGGATCTTTTTCTCTCCCACTCCGAAACTCCCGCGCTATTTCGCGCTTCCACGCATCCCCCTTTTTCTTTTTCTTTTCCTTCTCCATGCGTCACCCTTCGCAAATATGATAAGCATATTATTCTTCGTCATATTTTTATTTTATTACTACGAAAAATCAAGCTCATTATCGCACAAAGAATTTTATAATTAATAAAACATCATAAAATATACAAGTAAAAATTTAAAAACTTCGCTAGTTCTATTCCGAAAAATGTGTAAAAAATAATAGGGAAACCAAGATTGAATTAATATTTTTTTTCTTTTTCGTAATAAAAAGGAAAAAGGAAAAGACAACTGATAGAATAGGATAAAAAACCCTACATTGTTTTATATCCCATGATCTTTTTAAATGCACCCGAAGGACACGGAATCGAGAACCCTTCGGCTTATTTATCAAACCCCTAATATCTACAAGATCGTTTCATTTTTTTACATCAACTGTCCTTTCTTTTTCTAAATTAAATACAGTTTTCTTACAGTTTCTCGTATATCTTTATGACGTAACAAAATATATTTCTAACAATACAATAACCATAAAAATGCAAAATAAAATACAATAATAAAATCGAAAACGTGTTTAAACGAGCAATTGATAAAATAGTAAATTGTATCTACAAATACATCAATTCAATGATTTGCAACGTGTTTACGGCGTAGTTCGTCAACGCGATACAGGTATTTCCCCCCCCCTCCAAAAAAAAAAAAAAAAAAGATGAATGATGAGAGGGCTGAAATTTGTCCCCGCAACGGTACTCGTAATTTTACAAAAATATTGTCCATGTGTTTTGACTACAAACATCAAATCGCAAACGATGGCAGATTGTGTGCTGACAAATGAGCGTACACCAGGAGGACAGGGTTGCGATGCATCGGAGACATATGGCTCTATAAAAAAAAAAAAAAGTGAAAGAGAGATGATACCGAGAGATGATACAGAAGAGGTGGACTGCAACAGTATAACCATTGAGTCGATCCGATATTAATGGAGACCAAACACCAAAGCACATTTTGTGTCCCCGGAGGAGAATATGTACACATTGGTACACCATTATATCCCCGTTATAATGTGCAGCTCGTAGCACACCTCTCCTACTCCTCCTCCTCTCCACCTTCTTTTCCCTAACCGACAAAATGATCTACGACTTTTGTCGAACACCATACGTATGTTATATTATAAAATCTGTTGTGACATTTTTCTTTTCTTCCTTTGAATGTTCTCGCTCACTCCTACATTATTGATTGTATAGATTTTATTATAAATAAACGAGGAGAGAACTAACTAAAGTCTTCGAAAATAGCCTCATCTGTAGACTTGTGCTGTATGCGTGTATACGTACATACGTGCATATATGAAGAGTGACAATGAAAATATGAAGGGTAATAAAAAGAAGGAAAATTTTCAATGAAATAATATGAGTAGCTTTTAGAAATGATGATTCCTATATTTCTATTTTTCTATTTTTTCAATAATTAGTGATTGAGAATACGAAATGGAAGCTTATCTCCCTAAGCAGATAATAATCGCATAACTGATTAAAATCGTGTACATAATGGAGAGAAAAAGAGAGAGAGAGAGAGAGAGAGAGAGAGAGAGTAATTCGAGCAGTCCCAAGTGAGCAAACAATAAAATTGGATTTAGCAATCCCTCCGATTATGTCGTTTTCTGACGTGTGACTATAAGGGTGAATTTTTGGAAGGTGCCGGACGACCGTCACGATTAACGAACGAAAAGAAGGAAAAAGTAACAAGAATAGAAGAAGTATATAGAGAGCGTCGAGATCAAAGACGACTCTGAGCCGATCCTGTACTTTCCTTCTGACATATTAACTCCAAATTGACGTCGACAGACGACGAGGAAACCCTCCGAACTTTGATCATTTCACCTATGGGGAAAATTTCTCCTGCTTGCGAGTTAACTTTATAACGAATGAAAAAAATTCAAAGTGTTTTTAACGCTCCACTCGTTTTATTCTACGTTTTATTTTTATCAAATCTTTTATTTCATGTCACGAAAAGCATTTTTAATTATTATTACGTGAAATAATCTAATTCATTTACTGACCTTGCGATTCTTACGAAAATAAATTTGCTCTAAAAATTACAAAGATGCAATAGATACACTTAAATTGGATTAATGAAAGTAACTTGTCAAGAGTGAAATCAAACTTGAAATTATTTAGGCTTTGATTCCTTGGTAACGCTTTCTTCCTAGCACGCACATTTAGCATTGAATTATATCGATATTACATTGGATACACAGCAGCTATATGCTGTGTGCTATTGAATGTGTACATACTGCTGACATCTTTTATACGATTACGAAATAAAAAGAACTATAAATTTGATCTTTATTACCGAGTTTTGATGAGAACGTTAGTTACATCGGTAAATACGTATCTAACCTTACCATCAGTAGAAAATTAAATGTTGTATAGATCTACTGACAATGAGCAAAGAATATTAAAAAGTTAATTAAAAAATTACATCTAACATTTGTATTGATAAAAACTTATTACGATACCCAATACTCTTACAAAACATTTTCACATTAAATAATTAATAACATACAAAAAAAAATGTTTCCGCCCGGGATCGAACCGGGGACCTTCCGCGTGTTAGGCGGATGTGATAACCACTACACCACGGAAACTGCTTATTGCGTCATATCTAATCTCCATTCAAATTTATCCAATAATATTTTATATTCAAACCTTACTTTTTGTTTTTCGTGTATTATGTTTTTTATGTCTATTGTGTATTATAATTTTAAAAACGACCACTCAGGGTAACTGAAAAACTTCAAAACCTTCTATAAAAACCGCACACAAAAAATACCGGATGCTTCTACTCCCACCCTCGGCCATCATGACGTCATACAACAAGCTTGCGCTTGTTCTTCGCTAAACACTCACACACACAACACACACCGGATGCTTCTACTCCCACCCTCGGCCATCATGACATCATACAACAAGCTTATGCACGTTCTTCGCCACAAACGCATCCACATAACACAAGACAGTAGCTCGATGTAGGCGCCTACAAAAAAATAAATTTGCCTTTGTTTCGGAAATATGGGATAAGTTCATTGAAAAAAGTCAAGCTTGCTATCATCCAGGGCAAAATATAACAATTGATGAGCAATTATTTCCTTCAAAAGCCAGGTGCAGATTTACACAGTATATGCCTAATAAGTCCAACAAATTTGGCATCAAATTCTGATTTTTTTTTATCTTGCATTAGATAATAGTAGCAAATATCTTTAGAAAGGTTTTCTTTATTTAAGAAAAGATAAAAATTATTGAGGAAAGATGAAAAACGACCATCGTCAATGCTTCTAAATGAACACGTTGTTTACACATTAGTTATTCTTTCACAAAGCAGACACTCTGACTACTTTTAGGCAACATAAGTATATACAAAGTCTCGGGCAATCTATATTCTCCAACTGCAACCAACGCACTAATATATAAAGGTATCCGACCTAAACACATTACTACTAACCTACAGATCACTAATCAGACCAAAAAAAGACTACGGATCAAACGTTTACAACTCTGCAAGCCCCAACACACTAAAGAAAATAGATGCACTACACAATCGAGCACTCTGGATAGCTGTAGGTGCATATCACACAAGCCCCATAATAGCATACTAGGAAAAAAAAATTAAATTCAAAAGTCGCAAAAATATTCAATAAGAATGGTAATATCTTCAATTATAAAAAAAATTATTTATTAATACACAAATAAAAGAAATCAAAAGAATGTTTCCGCCCGGGATCGAACCGGGGACCTTCCGCGTGTTAGGCGGATGTGATAACCACTACACCACGGAAACTGACGATCGACATTTCGTTAAATAAAAAAATTCACGTCCCTTAGGTAATTTAATATAAGTTGAAAGAATCTGTATTTTATTACCGACTGGTAAAATATGTTTCTCCATCTATCGGTATTAGCTATTACTTCATTGTACTGACTAGTAAAATTAGGCTGCCATCTAGCTGAAGTAAATGTTACTATGTCTTATCGACTAGTAGAATAGGTTTCGCCATCTAGACGAAAGATAACACATCACTAGGATAAAATCAAGATGGCTACCTGTCAATGTACTTTGAATACCGCAAGTGCAGTTTATGTGCAGTGTAAAGTATTTAATTAAAAAAATCCTTAGTGATGCAATAATCAAGAGAATAATATTTTTTATTTATAATAATTTGTTTCATATTCTTTATTTAGTGATCGCCAATTCTGGATGAAAATAATTAAATTGGATGTATTGCTGTGGGACAGTGTTATTTCATAACCTAAGAAAAATAATTTTCTTAATTAAATCCGAGAATGCAGATGAATTCCAAACGTTCTTTTTATCAAATTATTATAACAAATACTAGTAAGTAACTTATATATTTTGTTTATACGAAATTCTACTAATTATTAAAATATATGGATTGTTTTGTCTTTTAACTTTATGCCTTATCTAAACATTTTCTCCCTGTTCAAACTTATTTTGGTACATATATAAACAACTTTTTAAAATATTTTTAGATCAGATCAGCATGCAGGTCTATATTTTAAATTCCAATTCAAGAACGTTATACCCAAGAGAAGAGGAGTCCATTACACCATTGGATCAATGGATATATATTTCATTTTCTTACGGCTAACGATTAGAAGATTTGTATTGATTATGTCATCCGAACAAGAGTTTTATTCTATAATATATGGTAAATA